ATAAATAACTTTGTGTCAGTAATAGAAGGTTTAAAGTTCATGCCTTGGAAAAAAGCAATAACATTAATTACGCTGGTAGCTCTGTTGGTTAGGATCTTATGTGTAAGTGCATATATGCTTCGTTCGGATAGATAGATAGATAGATAGATAGATAGATAGATAGATAGATAGATGTCACAGAAAACAATGTTTCAGAATAGTTTGACTATATCTAGATATACAAATCTATACGTTCACATACACACATACACACACACAAATATATATATATATATATATATATATATATATATATATATATATATATAATGGATTTACTTTTAATCGGATATTTTTACTTATACTTAAACATGAAAACAATAAACAAAAAATTCTTGAAGCTATATACATAAAACAGTTGAAACCTAACCTGAAGAAAATAAACTCCACAAATATACTTAAATGTGTGATCTCATGGACCGTGGTGCGATTTTCGCTTCCAGTGGCTCGTATGCACGAGTTTGTCGTTGCTTGGAAATTTTCCATGCAAACAAAATAGACTATCATTAATGGTATGTCCGTGTATTGTTTAATTTATTGTAATGTACTTGTCATCTCTGATGATGGCTTATGTAAGCCGAAAGCTTAGAGAGGATTTAAAAACAGTATTTATCAGTATGGTGATTTTCTTTCGTCTTTCAATGGTAATGTTATTAAGCTTACCAGTCGATATGAAAGGAATTTGTTTAAAATAAATAGACAAAACTTGTCTATATTATTTAATTAAACATGCATTAATATATATATATATATATATATGTATATATATATATATATATATATGTTAAGAAATGGACGAGGTCCGACAATTTATTTATTAAAAGACATTTTATTTATGTTTAACGTTGTTATTTTATAGATACAAGTATTTAAGCAAATGCTCTGTTTATCATAAATAACAACGTTAAATTTCTTTAATAAAAAATATATATATATATATATATATATATATATATATATATATATATATATATATATATATATATATATGTACTTCCTATACAAGTCCTGTTTGTTTTATTAAATTAAACAGAAATATCCTTGGAAAAGGTATGAATCTACGTCTTTTCCTCCCAGCTATGTGTTAATTAGTAGCACCTGTACCAGTAAATCATTATTATCTTCAAAACAGCTCTTACAAACTAAAATATTTTCTGGCTTTAAATATGTTTCTAATAGTTGATAAACCGTAAAAAACAAAGCATCAATCAATGTTATGCATCTACTGGAAAAATAATAACTCGAGCTGACGTATAGAAAAACATTCTGCTGTTATTCCCTTTGTTGCTTGAAGAGGGGTGGTTTTGACAAGCTGTCTTACTGGGACACGCCTCTTGCTGCTACGGCTGTAGTACATGTGTGCGTATGGCCCTAATCGGTTACGGAATCTAATGATTAGGATTCTCTCTGTGAATCGGGAGACACCTTACTTCCAAAGATCAAAATACAAATCAGTACTACTGATATGAAAAGCATTGTATATCTCTCTATCTAATTTTCTATCTATCCATGAAAGTTGGTTCACTGTGTCGTCCTAGACAACTTTTCACGACAGAATCTATCATACACATTTATAAGTCTACCATTCGTCCATGCTTTGAATATTGTCGTCTAGTGCTTCTGCTATGTATTCAGAGATTCTAGATATAATATAAAGAAGAATCTGCAATGTTATCGTTCCTGACCTGGCATCGCGGACTCAGTTATTTTCCCACCGCCGTAACGTACCTTCCCTCTACCTTTTATTTAAAAATTTTCATGTTAATTGTTCTGATGTGCTTTTCTTATAAGATACCTGGACGTGGAATGTAAGCGTACTACTAAATTGGCCTCAAGGTCTCATCATTTTACACATGAAATGGCTAGATGTAAGCATAAGTTTTATTCTAAAATCTCGCACCCCCATTCCACTAGAAAAGAGGATCTGTACTCATAGAGATGGTTGTGGGGCTGGCCAATTTTTGTCCTTGAACCGGGTGTACGCGTTCGGGTTCCTTACATTAAACCCGACCCTTGTGTCACATCCCATCTCAGTGAGGAGGCCAGGATAAATAATGATGCAACGAAAAGAGAGAGTCGTCGCTCTCATCTTGAACCATTCCAAACACACACGCAGAAAAAAAAAGTTCCAGCGTTTTATTTTATATCATTTATCGAACTTGGAAAGTTCACTTCTGAATAAATACATTGTCCGAGCAGTTTAGTTGGCACATTGTCTGATAATTCATTTCAATTTTTTTTATTAGAAAATAATCATAATTGTCTGTTTGTTTGGTTGTTTGTTTTACTTTTCCATTTTTCCCCCTTTTGTAGACGATCTGATCTATATCTTTTCGGAACAAAATGAAATATTAAATCACTTATTGCGAGCTAAAAATACTCTCTTAATCGACCTGCTTTTAATACTCATATAATGGATCTCTAAGAAATCCGAAAATGTATTCTTTTGTTATTCTCTTATTCTTTTATTCCACCGAATAATAAAATGACAATAGGTTTCAATATTCATGCGTACAATTACAGTTTTAATATTCCGTAAGTGGAACTACAGCGCTTCTTTGTGGAGATAATGATTCTTCAAGTTTTCTAAATTCTGTTTATTTCGGAGCCAAGTGTTTAACGATTGCGAGTCAGATAAGCGGAGAAATGACGAATACAATATTATATCCTGTTTCAGTCTCGTCGTACGCTTCTATACCTCTAGTCTGTATAGACGTTATATGTTTACTTGTTTATACCTACGTACAGATATATCTACGCACATTTTTCACTCGAGATTTTTTGTTTGTTTTTTTTTTTATAAGAAAGAATGGAAGAGAGCTGATTGTAGATATATCTTAATCAATGCAAAAGATCTCGAAGAAAGAAGAAGGAATCTGACCTCTTGGCATACAGTGTCTGCTTATATGTCTGGGTGAAGCCATTCACAATCTCCTTGTATGTGTGCGTGTGTGTGTGCGCGCATGCGTTGGACAGACTGGGTGCATGTATGTATTCGAGTGAGAATAGAGAGCCTCAAAAGAACGTATCGAAAAGATTAGGTATATACTAATCAATACTAAAAGTCTATAAGTTGGAGTGAAGAATATACTTTAAGCTCTGCATGTGCGTGCGTATAAGTGTTTGTTATTGAACACAAGTACGAGCCTTCTGCTTCTTCTGTGTCTCTACTGCATACATCTTAATTCTTTATTAATGTCTGAGAGAGATAGACCAAGAAAAAAGATAGCGAGGCAACTCGGTCAACGTTTGTGTGTGCGGGGCTGTATGTGACCCGTGACCGATTGGTTTGATGGTTTAAACGTTAGAATTCCGATTATGTCTTCCCGGTTCGAATCTCGCCATGGTCGATTTTGTCAAAATGGTGACTTTTTTTATGATATCAGCCTGGGAAGATGATCTGTGCAGTAAGTAAGTGCCTGTAAAACTAAACGACGTGTTGGCATAAGTCTCGAGAGTAACAGTGCGTCGACGGATCTGAGCATGTGCACAAAATCGAATTTTTAGAGAAAATATAAAAAAGGACACTTATTCTTAACATCAGGAAGAGACAGTTGAAATTTCTAGAACACATAATAAGGAAAAAGGCGTTTTGAAAATTTGATACTCATAAGACAATGCAAGAAGAAGAGACAAAAACAACTCATAACCTATTTAGTGAGTTTGAGCGAATGAATAGCAGAACAAACTTTAGAAGAGATAAGAAAAAGAAAAAATTAAGAGCTACAAAAGATAGGAAATTGTGGAGATCCATGATTGCAAGCATTCTGAAGGGACACTACACATAGAAGAAGCAGAATTAGTATCAATTGTTACTAAATTTATTTTAGTCTGGCGTAAGGACATAGAAAATAGGGGTAGGAAGTTTGTACTTCGAAAGTTTTCTAAGGAGGGAAAGGTATGACTACTTTGAAAATCACCTGCTTTTACCTGACCACTAACACCGATAACTACTGCCAATGGGAAATATGCTACACCCCAAGCAACCCTAGATCCGTAGCCTGATACGTAGTTTTTTTTAATATTGATATTCAATGTTCGATGTGTATGATTTATACTTACTAATTAAGCATATTGAAATGAAATACGTTGTGAGTATAAACAAGTATTTATTGTGTGAAATAAATGCATTTTTCATTAGCCTCGGTATTTATTGTGTTCTTATATATATATATCTCCTGCGAATTTTTGCAATCGAGAAATGATCGCTCCAGACTAAGCCAATGGGAGGAAACTCTGATGTCATGATGTGACACTAATGTAACACTGGTAGTATGAAATTAGGATTAGAAGGATTCATTTGTAAACCCCGTAAAGGAATTGGAGAATTGAAAGTGTTGCAAATGTTAAAAACGTTAAAGTGAAAAAATGAATTTAAATATGAAGCAAGAAAAAAAACAGAAATATTTTTTTTCAAAATAAACTGATGGGCAAATGGAATTGTTATGAATCCGCAAAGCCAAAATGTAAACAATTAGATTTTAAATTGGTCATTTTGAAAGTCAACAATAAAGGGGACTTTTTGACGTCAGAGAAAATAGAAATAATTTTTAAACACGGTTTTTATCGGAAATATTGTTGTTGAAAGAATGTATTGTTTTTAAATAACTGAGCGCTTTGTTTGACCATTCCAATTCTCCAATTCCGATACGGGGTTTCCATATGAACCCTTTTAATAATAATTTCATGCTATCAATTTTACAATAATGTCACAATGGAGGTAGGAAACTTTCTATGACCCAAGAATAGACATCACAATAAATGATATGCATTAGTTTATTTGCTTGTTTGATTGATTGATTGATTTACTGATACAATTCCTACTAATTAACCCATAGCTGGAGATTCAAACCTTTACCAACTGTATTTGCGTGTAAGTGAATATAACGAACCTGACTGGAATTGGAACTCTGCTCTCCAATTCCGAGCCGTTATCCATTATCCCTCCTGCAGATCAAAGCTTACAGTGTCTGGTATTCCCAAGCAGTCACCCATCTAGGTACAGACCAAGCTCGACGTTGCTTAATTTCAGTGTTCGTACAAAAACCGGCGTTTCAACGTGATATGGCTGTAAGCCGTTAGTTTATTTGAAACAAAAAAAAAAAGAAAAAAAACTCTGTAGACAATCAGTTGTGGTTTTATTTGCGCATGCGCATGTAAACTAGAGTGTGTTTCCGTAGGTATAAATTTGAAAAAATAACTATTTGTGAACAGAAGAGAATGAGTTGTGTGAGCGCGTGTGTGTACGCCCGCGTTGTCCTTCTACGTGTATAACGTTTTGTCTGTGTACACATAAAAGAAAAAGCCTGATTATTTACCAATGGATGTACACATTAAGGTTTGTGCAAAGGATGTAGAGAAGAAAAAAGAAGTAACTAATTTTTTTTTAGTCAGCCGATGTATATGTTTGTTCGGGGAGGACTAAGAAAAGGAGGGGAGAGAAACGGAATTTATTGAGTAAATAGCAGACGAACATTGATCGATATAAAATGTCTGCTAAAAAGAGCGAAAAGTCTCGTGTATGTACATGTGTGTGGAACCGTGCATGGAACACTCTGAATAAAATACGTGTGTGTGTGTGTGTGTGTGTGTGTGTGTGTGTGTGTGTGTGTGTGTGTGTGTGTGTGTGTACCCACAAACATATATATATATATATATATATATATATATATATATATATATATATATATATATATATATATATATATGGGGGGTACATCAATAAGTCCATTGCCTTTAATGAAAAACTATTTACTTTCCCAAATATGTATTTTAAATATCACAACCTTTCTTTCTTATCAATGGCTTTAAAACAAATTTTTCGATTTAACTCCTACATAGAGTGACAAACTCATATCAAACTCCAGCAAGGAGGTTACGGACTTCTAGATCATCCCTCACGCCTCCCACATACGCACGGATATATATATATATATATATATATATATATATATATATATATATATATATATATTTGTGTGTGTGTACAGGATTAATATGATAATAAATGCTTTTACACTGGATTCAACAGACTTGTTTATAAGTAACAGAAAACAAGGGCTAAACTGAAAAAGAAAAAACGAGCTGATCTAATGGCCAATACAATAAGCGCCTACACAAACAATGTGTGCACTATACAATTCTTCGTGCACAAAGCAATATAAATGCGTACACAAGCTATTGCAGAAAATATATACACAAGACTATATAATATGCTTTACTGATTATCTACAGCATTTAATAGGAATAAAACTTCTGCGATGAACTCAACTTCAGTAACAGCATTTATTTATGGCATATGTGAACACTTGGACAAAATACAAACGGAATTGTTATGTTTCTGTATAAACAACGCGTATCTTTAAAACTTATTCACTTAAAATATTTTTTAAATCAGAATAACTTAAAAATATTTTTCTGATATGACAAAAATATTTTAAAATCATATTCACTTGAAAATATTTTTAAATATGGCAAAAAATATTTTTTTTAAATATTTAAAATATTGTTTGTTAAAAGAAAGCTGAAATATAAATAATTACTCTACAAACAACTGGACGAAACAGCAAAGTGGGATGTCTTTGTGTCTGGCTTTAACTTTAAGATATTTTAATTTAAAAAAATAGTCTGCTTGAAGAAAGTTAAAAATGAAAATGCTTACTGTATAAAAAAATTCGATATTTTAAAACTTATTCACTTCAAATATTTTTTAAATCAGATTAACTTAAATCATTATGCGCCTGACGCACACACCACACAAGCACGCACGCACGCACACAAGCACAGAGTTTTAGTATTATACAGATGTGCTAGAAGAAATCTTTTTTTCCAGATAATAATCATTTACTGATACAGGTCTTACTAATTCACCCATAGCTGGTGGTGAAATAGGTGGATACACCCATAATTAAAGCTAGTACCAAAACTAAGCGAATTTTAGTAAATAACATATTTTCATATGTTATTTACTAAGGTTAATGTAATAGTCAGCAAGTTAGGCTTGTAGGTTATTAATATTGAGTTCGAACCTCACTGACCCCATGCTTGAAGCTTAGTGCCAAAGATCAACTACGTTTAGTATATATGTACTCATGTTTTCTGTAATCGATCATTTTGAGAGTAACTCAATACACTAATATAGATTTATATGTCTTCGGATTTTAAAGATTATTAAAGCACTGGATGCTGTTGATGAATCTCAAAGTAAAGGAATCCTATGTCGTACCAATTCTCCAGATGTCAATCTTTCAAATCATTTTTCCAATTCCTCTGTCTCGTCTGAAATATTGACGAATCGCACTCGCATTCTAGTTGTGTTAGTGGCGAGAGACATAAAAAAAAATTGATGGTTTGGTTTATTTTGTTTTAAGGCATATCAACCTCAATGGGTTATTCAATGCCGACAAGATTTTTAGGATAGGTTCGTTTGAATAGAATATGTATTCTTCGTAAGAAATCAGTCTGTAGATCAGGTTTCATTGACGTAATTTTGTAAAGACGGTTTTTGTCGACAGTCTTGCTGGTAATATTTTTTTTCAAAAAATGTCTTGCTAGTAATATTTTTTTTCAAAACATCTATTTTTTTTCAAATGTATTTTTTCTACTATAAAAATCTATTTTTATACTTTCATAGTGTTTTGACCCCAGTTTGGGGGGGGGAGATATTTGCCCATACCTGGAAACAGGTACTACTAGCCCAAATCAGGATGGATCCTGGAAACACGCTCCTCAAAACTTCTCGAACAGAGACCTTACTGCCGGATGTAGCTTATCTTCAGACCCAGGACGGATAATTTTTTTTAAAGTAAAAGATTTTACTAATAATTATATTAATTATTAAATGGCCCTCACGAGTGGAAAGCCATAAAAAGAATCTAAAAAGTTATCGTTTCGTTGATATATTTAATTTGAATACGAATTATTGATGGCTGATAGCCCAAAGAGATTACCTTCCGACAGATACGTGTAACTTATCATTAATGTATTAATATTAATTTTAAATGATTATAAATTGACAGACAAAATGAAGTTAATTTTTGTATAATGAATCTTTATTTCTTCACTGTCATATTTTCATTTCTATCAATATGTACGCCATTCTTACTTTATATGGGTGTGGCTGTGTAATTATGTAGGTGTGTATTTATGTGTGCGCAAATGAATTCATATTTCAGTGCATTTGTGCGGGTAAAAATGCAGATTAACCGGTACGCATGCGCATAGACATATTTTTATATATGAAATTGACAAGATGAAGAGATAAATCCATGCAGTGTTTAATAGAAAATGACTTATTTGATACTATGAGCGGATCAATTATATATATATATATATATATATATATATATATATATGTGTGTGTGTGTGTGTGTGTGTGAGTGTGTGTGCGAGCGTGTGTGTGTGTGAGTGTGTTTGTGCGAGCGTGTGTGTGTGTGTGTATTTAGTCAGCAATGCCTGTTTTTATACAAGTTTCGTTACAGACGCCTGACCAGGTACTGCATATCCGAGCCCTTTCAGCTATTATTTTAGTCATTATCAGGGACGATTTTTATGTTTTATTTTTAACTGAACGTGTTATATGATTGCTTTATTTTCCAAATACGGTTAGTACATTGTGGTCGTGTTCATAGTTAATTTTATTGAGTCCCTTTTAACTTTTCATTATCAGTGCTTCCATTATTTTTTTTTTTTACGTGTGTCTGAGGCTATTATACTTGTATTTTCTACTCGTATTTTGCAGATTAGGTTTGGTAGGTTTATGTGTGTTTAAACGTGTCATAATTGAGACATGATCAAATAGGCGTAAAGTTAGTCGTCTAGATAGGCATGTTGTGCTATAACCAATATAAACTTTTGTACATTTTTACACACTTTGTGTCTAGAAGAGAAAAAAACACTTGTACGAACACAAGAAAAATAAAGTAGAAAGCTTAAACTTGGAGTACCTTGAAAGTCGTCTTTAACGATATATATATATATATATATATATATATATATATATATATATATGGAGAATATATATATATATATATATATATATATATATATATATATATATATATGAGAATATATATATATATATATATATATATATATATATATGCCGAGAAGTCAACCTCCTCCGCCAAGTTCGAACCGAATTTTTCCACTAATCGGAATTGCATGCCAAACGTAGGTGCTGTATATTGACCGTTAATCCAATCTCATTTGGAATTATATCAGTTTATAGTAATGCTGGCGTAGTTAAACACTATACATATAATGATGTATTTTTCAATATATATATATAATTCCAAAATTTTGAGATTTCTTTCAGCAGAGACTTTTTATAATTTTGGAGATACTTACCAAACGGTAATCTCTTTCAAGTTAGGTTCCTCAAACTTCAATGCACTAGTTGTAGCATTCAGAGGCATTTGGTGAAGGCCACATGGAAGTCATCCAACATAAAGGCCCAGTATCCTCGGCGCAGCCTCTCTTTATCTTCTCAATGCTTTCAAGATGTCTACCTCCTGAAGTTCTCCTTGAACTTAGAAATCAACCAAAAATTACACGTACCTAGCACGAGACTGTAGGGAAGTTGAACTGTCAACAAAATCGGCAAACTTGGTCCTTCGTGTCTGCGAATGTATTAAAGTGTTAAAAGGGCTATTATTTTAACTACCTTCACTCATCGGAAATGTTTATTGTTTTAAGAAGCGATGATTAGAGTTGTAATAAAACAACAAAAATATAAATCATTATTAATAGATTGTTTTATTTACAAGAATAATTCTATATTTACATTCTAAAAACTAATGCAATTAAGACTTATGTAATGCAGTATTTATCATTTACCAATTTATAAAGAAATATATATGGAAACATTTTTATTCATAAATTTATAAACATTTACTAAATTATTAAAATATGTGACGCAATTATAATCCTTATTATCAACGATTCCAATAAACACAGTGTTTATCATTTTTGTTGTCAGTTTTAAAAACAGAAAATTTATAAATTTACTTTCATATGTTTAGGTTTTATTACAATTCTAATCATCGCTTTATAAAATAATAATTGCCAAAGGTTGAAGGTAGTTAAAATAATAACGGTGTCAAGGGAAAAGCCGTCTTATTGACATTCCGTTGTTTTTCAGGCATAATGTCCAAGTTTGACCCAAAACTTTATTGCATAGCGAGCTTTCAAATTGCCGTCACGTCTGGACTGCATTCTGTAAACTAGTCAGTTTTGACTAGCAGTTTTAAGAAGAGTGACTTCAAAAAGCTATTATGGTCATCTCCTTCAATATGAAATAACAAAAGATTGTAGGTTACCATATTGTTTTATAGTAATAATATACTAAAATTACAATAATCTAGAACAGTTATAACTGCTTTGTCCCTCGTGTATATATGTCTCTATATATATATATATATATATATATATATATATATATATATATACTACATTTTTTTACAGGACTCGATACAGCAACTAGATTCCGGAATTTCATAGAGGACCATTTTTCTCACTCATCAGGAGGTTTCAGCAACTGACTATGGATTTTCTCATTTCGTTATTTTAAACTAAGTTAAAATTTAATCATTAAATATTTAGCACATAAATTAATTTTTAACTCAGTATGATAATATTTTTAATGAGAAATGAGTCAGTTGGTCAAAACCTCCTGATGAGTGACCCGAACGGTTACAAAAGGTTTGTCTACGAAACTCCTGAAACGAGGTAGTGAATAAAAAATCAATCAACTAAGTGACAAATTTTATTTGTATTAATTCTATTAACAGTCAATCGCTGACATTGAGAACCTTATTGAAAAGTTAGCTTGCCATAAATTCCTTCATACTTCCACTAACAGCATCTCTGGCTTTACAATAGCTTTGTTTCCACTCTCTCTTTCTCTCTCTCTCTTTCTCTATCTATCTATCTATCTATCTAGATATATCTCTAGATAGATAGATAGATAGATAGATAGATAGATAGATAGAATGTTCAGTTAATTAGAATGGGCAAGGAATGTCTGCAGGGTATTGAAGTTGCTTACCCTGGTTCTGAATAAAACCATTAATGTCAAGTGAATATTTAAATGAATATTTGTACAGTATATATATATATATATATATATATATATATATATATATATATATATATGCGAATGACATATGTGTGTGTGTGTTTATCATATGTATATATATATATATATATATATATATATATAGGCACCATATCTTCATTCATATATTTGGTTTGTGAATATTTAAATGAATATATGCAGTAGTTATAATATATATATATATATGTGTGTGTGTGTGTTTGTATGTATTTATCACTTAAATGTTGTATATATATGTGTATGTCTGTGTTTATTTAAACTTTATATATATATATATATATATATATATATATATATATATATATATATATATAGTTTTGCAAACTTAGGTAATACGTATGGGTAGACCAAGGGAGGATGATATAGAGCTCAATATAAAATTCAGAGCAGATATGTTTGAATAAAAACAGACCACGTTAAGATTCCATGTAATAAGCTATTTCACCATTTAGGGTTCTCGATCATCAGACTTTACTTCCAAAACTTAAATGTTGAAGGGTTATATATATACATGGGAATGTGTATTTTATTCAAATATATATATATATATATATTTATGACATATGTGTGTGTGTTTATCACTTAAGGGTATATATATATATATATATATATATATATATATATATATATATATATATATATATAGGCACTGTATTCTTCATTCACGTATGTTTGGTTTTGAATATTTAAATGAATATTTGTGCAGTAGTTATAATATATATATATATATGTGTGTGTGTGTGTTTGTATGTATTTATCCTTAAATGTTGTATATATATGTGTATGTCTCTTAAACTTTATATATATATATATATATATATATATATATATATATATATAAAAACTTTAGGTAATACGTAGGTAGACCCGAGGAGGATGATATCCAGAGAGCTCAATGTAAAAATTCAGAGCAGATATGTTTGAATAAAAACAGACCACGTTAAGATTCCATTAATAAGTTATTTCACCATAATCCCTTTAACAGGGTTCTCGATCATCAGACTTTACTTCCAAAAAGCTTTTGGAAATAAAAGTCTGATGATCAAACCTGTTGAAGGGGTTATGGTAAAATAGGTTATTACATGGAATCTTAACGTGGTCTGTATTTTTATATATATATATATATATATATATATATATATATATATAAACTTCGCCATCGCTTGTTGAATGAGTGGGGTATTCGACTGGATACGAACATTCGGGTTTACAGAGCTGTTGTACTTGCCATCCTTTTGTATGGCTTAGAGTCGTGGACTCCATACAGGTACCATATACGCCAGCTAGATGTTTTCCATAAAAGCTGTCCGCGTGCAATCTGTGGAGTTTCAAGATAGGACATCTAACGTAGACCTGTTTAACAGGTGTAATATTGGAGGAATCGAGACTTTTATCATACAGTCTCAGTTACGGTGGACTGGCCATGTCTTGAAAATGTCTGATGACAGGATACCCAAGATGCTAATGTACAGCCAGTTAGATCAGGGCTACAGGAATGTAGGACGCCCATGGCTAAGATACAAAGACAAGCTGAAAAGCAACTTGTCAGCAGTCAATATACCACATAACACCCTTGTGCGCTTCGCTTTGGAGCGGGTAGAATGGAGATCAACGTGTTTTAGTGGACTCAGCAATGTTCAATCTGCTTGTTTGAATCATCTTCAAGAAGTGAGAGCAAGATCTAAAAGGTCACCCAATCTAACAGTGATCTCATTTCGCAATCCTCACACTTGCTCCATATGTGGCCTCCTTTGTAAATCACTAGCGGGTCTTAAATGCCACTTAAGATTATCGCACAAAGTTTCATAACTGAATCAATAAGCTGTCAGATCCTTATACGTCGAAACCGACGGGAAAGTCCATTATTATTATTATTATTATTATTATTATTATATATATATATATATATATATATATATATATATGCAACATATCTTCATTCCAGTATATTTTGTTGAATAATCTAGATATATTATATCTATTTATTTTTATTTTGATCCTCACGAATTCTCTTATAGATTTTTTAATTTTGATATCAAATTCATTTTCCTCGTTGATAAATCTTAACCAGGCGGCACACACACACACACACACACGTCTATAACTCACACAACTATGTTTTGGCACAAATGCTGCCCTCTTAATGTATACGCATATCTGTAAAAAAAAAAGTTAAGCCGACCAAATGCATAACAGCTATATGTAGTTGCTTACGAGAAATTCCGAGAATTAAACATAAAAAAATTACTGCGTCGAAAGTCTATTTTCCACAGTCTCGGTCAAAACAGTCCAGATGGAATCACAATTAAAATAATAGTCCCGTTCACAAGTTAACTTTCGTATACAGGCTCTTCAGGATAAGATTTAAAAAAAAAAAAAACAATTTCCTACGCGTAATTTACATGTCGTACCAGCCCGTTATATGGTGCACCAATGGATTTCTAACTCACTAGTCAGGCATAACTGATTTCCAGAGACTAGCTTGGTAAGCCTTACCCCACATAGAAGTGCCCAAATGCTAATTTTAATAAAATTACACACGTTGCAATTACAATAACTGTCAAACAAGCCATGCTTTGATATTAACGATTTTCATACTTATTTTTTAAATTTACTTTTCTCCCGGTTGTAGGTGCACAGAACTATATATAATGAGTAAATGAATGACAAGTCAAAACCTGTCTATTTAAGCGTTTCGTCCTGTGAATAAACTTCTTCGGACACACAAAGTAATGGCTTTATTGATAGAACAAATATCGTTCCAGAGGTTCCTCGACCTTTTTGTGGAATCGATATCACATTGCGTTGCTACACTTCGCCTATTTTTAGAAACGCCAGTATATAAAAAAGGGAGAAAATAACGGTTGCTGTTTACAGCAAAACATATCTCCTTTCCACACAAAACATATCTCCTTTCCACACAAAATTACTATAATGGAGTTTCAATATGATAAATCAGGAGTTCGAATTCCATTCCCTTGCGTACAAATATCCTTGGGAAAGGCATCTCTTCTACCCCACTAGATATGTGTTGAATAGCTGGACAAACTGGACCCCATAGCCATGTTTCGTAACAAGTCTACCGCAGAAAGAAACGGCAAACTACTGCGAAAAAAATCTCCTGTCTCATCAGCCATGGATCAAAAGAGATATGATGGCCCAGACATGTATCTCGTATGGCATTTGATGTCACGTCATATATTGTTGCCAGTCTTAATTCGCCAAGATGAACTATGTAAATATTAACACATCCAATCAACACAGATCAAAAGCAATAACAACCATGTCTAATGCGTGGGCATTATTTATTATTATTATTATTAACACTGTTAAAGCAATTATCTGTGTTCGTCTGTACCAGCTGATTCATTCTACATAAAGATTCCTGAACACTCTGCTCTCGTTAACCAGTTGAAAACATTTGTTAAAAAAAAGACGGAACTTAAAGGAAAAATCGGTACATGTAAAATTGCCTATGAATCCAAAACATCTGACCAATATGACTGAAATAATAGGATTTGAATCTGAAAAAATCGTTGTTATTTTCAAAAAAATAATTCATGTAATATTCACTAGCAACAAAAAGAAATGTTCTAATAATACAAATGATGTTTTAGGTTAGAATATCGCACAAAGGGTTGATATAACGTAAAAAAAAAACAAATCGGATTACGGCTATATCACGCGGAAACAACGCTTCCTGTATGATCACCGTAATTAAGCAACGTCAGACCTGGTCAGTACGTAGATGGGTGACTTCTTGGGAATACCAGGTGTTGCAATCTTGAATACTCGTGTGGTGTAATGGATAATGGCTCAGAATTGTTAATCGGAGCGCAGAGTTCAAATTCCAGTTGGGTTCGTTATATTCACTTACACGCAAATAGCTCTAGGAGAGGTATGAATCAACCTCGTCTCCCCCAAATATGGGTTAATTGCTAAGACTTGTATCCCTAAATCCCTATTATCGCCAAAAAGACAAAAAATCTTAGAATCTAAAAATATTCTCTTGCTTTAAATAACCTAAAAAAAGTTGACAAGCCCTGGAAAACGAATAAAAAATAAAATGAAATCAATCTAAATCCCACAAAATTAAAACTAATACTATGAGAGATATGTAAAACTGTTATTTAAGAATAAAGTCCCGTTGCCGACACTTGAGTTTGAACAGAGATCGCCAGTGAGCAAACACGGGCGATCCCATTATTGAATTAATTAGACCACGTGACCATAGAGGAAATGCATATATAGGAAGTGGCGTGACGTCCAATTGATCGTTATTCATAGTCTATCCTCTATTACTATTCAGATCGATATTTCTATTCTATCACCTATTACTATTCGGATCTCTATTCTTGCTCTATACTCTATTACTATACGGACCGCTATTCTCGACTCTATTCACTATACTATTTCTCTATTCGCATCGCTATACGGATCACTATTCCAGCGAGTGTTATCGAGCAAGTACTTAATGCGAGCGTTATTCGAAAACGTCTGACACCACTATTGTTCAACGGCGTTATTCTCGTTGTATCTGCGATTACAAAGTCTCTACTACAACGAGCATTGCGAAAGTGACAACGAATATTCGTTGACATTACAGAAGTGGCAACCAGTGTTTGTTGACATCACAAAAAACCCAATAACACTAAAAATTATAGTAATAAAACCAGAAGAAGATAGGCTAAGTTTCAATGTTGAATGATGAACATTTCTTATTTATATAAATGTTATCTTTTAGTGGTTACTCGGGTCTGAGTAGACATCTTTGTTTTATAACAGGGAAATCAATGCCTATTTGCCTATAGATGTGCACTTCAACGTGGTTTAATGATTGGCAAGCTTGTCTGGCTAACTTAATTACACCTGTGCCATATCTAGGCTACGCTAAGTGGCTACTTGCCTAGAAACCAAAAGATGGAAAGAGAAGATTGTGCAGCTCCAGCCCTAATATGAAAGCAATACTCATATTTGTCTAATCTGAAACTTGTAAAGATACGTGGATTCATTTCCTTTCGCCCATCAGGTAAAACACTTTGACTTACCAATTAGGTCACAGGAAGCCAACGTAGAAAACAAGGCCTAGCTCAGTCAGTTATATGCCATACGTGATACATGCTTAGGCGATCATGTATCTTTCGATACATGACTGGCGAAAGAGATTTCTTCCCGCAGTAGGTTGCCATTTCTTTCTCCGGTATATCAGTTTCTACCTAAGGCTATAGAACCCGGTCTGTCCAACTATTTACCCATAGCTGGGGGGCGGAAGAAGAAGATTCATACCTTTCCCAAGGGTATTAGCACGTAAATGAATGTAATGGATTCGACTGGAATTCGAACTCGAATTCTGGTCGGTTTCGTTACATTCACGCCAATTCTCTCGGAAAGGTTTTGAGTCCATCTCTGCTCCCCTCTCCTAAAAAGCCGTGGTGTAAATAGCAGGGCAGACTGGACTGTTTGGCCGTGGTTGGCAACCAGTGTAAGAGGATAAGTCTGCATTCAAAATCTTAAATATCCTTGGCAGAGCATATACCAGAACTATAAGTATTGTCCCCTTAGTAAACTCGCAGTATAAACCACAGGTTGGCTCAATGGGTGTTGACCAATGGACCTGAGCAAACGGAAACGAACCTTCATGCTGAAGATTCGAAATCGTCTCTTCAATTTGAAACATTTCTTATCTATACGCATATTCACCTTTATATATCTCTAAATATACATTCACTTTATAGCTATGCCTTTAGTCTAAAAATACTTTCATTTGTTTTTTTTTATGCTTGTGTATGGAATGCTTGTCTACACGTCTTATTAGAGGCTGTGATTATTAAATCTTACTATCAAGGAAGTATGTTTCAAATCTCTTGCAAGATAATCGCTATTCTGGTATTTGTATACAAACAGTCACTCCAAGCCAGATGTGAACAACTTGGGTCAGACGCAGTGAGATTACTTTCAAATATACTCTGCAGTCGCGAAAATATTAAATTATTCATTGATTTTTTTAAAAATCATTTCAGCCAGTAGGCAGTTGTAGAATCTCTCATGACCATTCGGGTTGTCTAAAATACTTTTTAATCTCCTCAAACTTCCAGTTTACCGTTACTATTCCCTCATGGGTCATAGACTAAATAAAGGTATGAAAACTTCTTTTCATGGAATTTTTTCATACAATATATATATATATACCCTCTAGAGATGAGACTATACAGTCACGTGATATTACATTTTCATTGCGCACAGGGAAAATAAATCATCTTTAAATAAAAAGAAATTTATCATCGTTCTATCGTGTAATAATCTGATTTAGTTTTTATTATAAGAGGTGTTCCAATAAATTGGACCGATTTTAAAAGCGAATTAAGTTTAATTTTAAAAGTATATGTTTTTTTTAGCAGAGACGGCTTGAAGAAGGTATCTTTATTAGAAAGATATTACGACGAAGGCCACCTGGTAAATCTAGGCTGACAATTGATGGCACTGCCTTAAAGAGGAATTTTTAAAAAATTGCTCCCAGAAATCAACCGGGAAAGGATGCCGATTGAAGAGATAATATTTGGTAATTTTTTAAAAACAATGCAAAATTAAAAGACTGATTCATTTCGCCTATCAAAAAGTGCAAACTGTAAACAAGTCAAGAAAATAGAATTTTTTTTGCGGTGATACTAACAAGATGGTGAGATAAGCTAAACGGAGGAAACAGCTGGTAAACTTCTGATTGTATAAACAAGACCAGGCTGGGAAAAAAATTGCTGACGAGAAATTAAAATAATTCTAATTAATGACAAGAAATTTATCCACGTCACGTGGTTTGTAAACCAGAATTGTCAAAAGGACAACCGAGGTGACAGTCGTAGGTGAAATATCAAGAAGGACGGAGGAATTGCCTACACCCACTGAGAAGTGTTGGTACGAGGAAAAATTTAAGAGAAAGAAGGAGTTATCGGCGTGGATCGATACCTGTGTTCCCGGCCCTTAGAAAAAGGGATATACCCAAATTTGGAGATATAATTAAACAACAAAGTGATGTTTTTGGAAAATAGGGGAAACAGCGGGTGCCCTAACCACGTCGTCCCCATGTCAGTTTTGGGTGAAAGTCAATATAAGCAGAACACTGAAGCGACCAGAGGAGATCTAGAGACGCCAGTTCCAGAGTGCAGACGAAGAGAGGCGACGACTCTGCCAAATTCCACATGACTTGCTACCAGAGAGAACATCTGACTTAAGCCTTGTTCCAGACATAGCTAAATTGAGCAAAGTATCACAATAGAATTGGGAAGGATTCATATTTCTGTACAAAGAACTAATATTTTTGTACAAAGAACGATATAAACCGAATAGAAATAGACCCTGAAGAAATTCCTGTCTTTTCTTTATTTCGTCTGTAAGGACGTTTTTATTTTTCCTTTCGCCGGGATCGAACCAGCGCTATAAATACTGACGATAACTCGATTTTTGCCAGCTCCGTGATCAACCAACACAACGTGAGGCGCAGATAGGAACGACCAACTCCAACGGCTGCTGGCAGCATTGATCAGAGACCGACTGCCAAGAAGTGTTACAGGCAGACACAGAAAGAAAACCAGAGGACCCCCGTGACAAGTTAGTAAAGGAAAGCGAGAAGAAAGGACCATCTCTCAAATTTAAGACAGATGAATGCATGGTCGTCAATAAAAGAAAAAAGTCCAAGATGCGAATTACAAATTGGAGATGTCAACATAAAACAAGTACAGGAGTTTAAATATCTGGGAAGTATTTTAAAAGAAAATGGAAAATGTGACACCGAAAGCCGTAACGCGCATTGAAATAGCGAAAGATACTTTCCAAATCTAAGCAAAGTATTAAGAAAAAGGAGTATTTCATTAAAAACATAGAACACTTATTTAATATCTAATCCTCTTGTATGGCAGTGAGTTCTAGACAATTTCCTCACTTATGAAGAGTAAACTAGAGGCATCAGAAATGTGGTTCTACAGAAGGATGCTGAGAATATGGAGTCCGTAAGCAAAAACAAAAGACTTAAGAAAATGGAAAAAAAAGGACACGTATACTAATAATCGAAAAGAGACAGCTGAAATTTCTTGAACGTATAATGAGGAAGGAAGCCGAGGAGAATTTGACACTCACAGGAAAAACGAACAGAGGAAAACAGCAGGCCACCAACCTGATAGGGAGTGGATGGAGCAACGGTGGGGGAGAGGCTTGGGAAAGGGTCAAATATTGCTAAGAGCCAGAAAGCACAGAAAATTGTGGACAGCCATAAAACGAAACAGGAATAGACAGTGGATTTTATATTGAAAGACTGCATACAAGAAATATGTCTTAATTTTTTTAACCTTTCATTTTTTTTTTTGTATATGTAAATGTAGATCAGAAATGTCCAAAAGATTTTGGTCAAGCTCTTTCGACTATGATTACAGACGTTTTTCTTTATTTGCTCTATTTATGTATATAGAACACGACCAAAGAAAGAGATGGGCTATTCTATACTCTCAAAAGTTCCCTTTGTGCCACATTCATATTACATTAATACATTCAACATAAAAATTTGTCTTGCTTTTCCGTATCTATCATAATACCGCATTTGCTTTTAGGAATTAAATCATTACCCATGATCTCTAACGTTTATAATGCCTGTAAATAAAGAAATGGCAAATTCTGTCTGTCGGTTTCTTCGATTGAAACTCCTCTAACTCGGACTACGCTTGCTCTACACATACATATTATACATTTTTGGAATCAGGATGATTCCGGAATTAAAAATCTGCCCTTTATTTGGTGCC